CCATTTGGAGAGACAAAACTGTCACACTTGCATTAAAAGGTTACAATTAGAGTGGAATGAAGAGATCTAGAACTATGCCTGATTGATATTTACCAACCCATGTACACACGGTTAAGTGGATGAAGTGGAACCTAATATTTGGGTTGCGTTTGAATGGTAAAATGACTGCTAACGCATGAGAGCAAGGAGTTTCATACTTGAAACGGAAGTGGATAGAACCCCAATAGCGGTTTCAAACATTCAAGAGGATTTATGAAGAAGGAGAGGAGATGGAAGAATGCGAGAAATGGGAAATCATATTTATAAATTCAAGGAGAAATCAGATTATCAAGTGTGAAAATCCTTATTTTGAGTTTGCCTTGGTGAAGTCATCGTAGGTTCATGACCAGCCATGAAAACTAATATTCAATTATGAAGAATACAGTGGCCTAAATCTAGGGATTATAGATACCCATTTAAATAGAACAGGGCATGGGAGACGAATTAGAAACGTTTAGTGAAGTGAATTGCCAAGTGGATGTACCAATCGGGATAAAGAAGTCCTTCAGATGGTATGCGAAACCCGTGCTGAGAATGCCAACCCCTCATTGGTCATTTAAACGGAAATACACTTGGAAAATATTGGAATAAAATAAGGTACAGAAATAAACAGATATGTGGGAGTAGATCCAAAAAGATATTGTGGTAACAACCATTACAAGGGGGATGAGAGATAATAGAACGATCGAACAGAAGGTTGGTCGATAGGTTTGTGTTTATCTGTCACTTCGATGAGCTCAGTACTAGGAATAAAGCTTCTTATTGAAGGGTCCAATTAGTAGCTAAAGAAGCGTCTAAGGATGTATCAAGTCAAAGGATAGATACCGAAAATTATCATTGCAGCTGTGTAAGAGGATGCAGGAATGGATATTTTCTTCGAGTTCGCCTTAAAAACACTACTAATAAGAAAAAGATCAAAACAACTATTCTGTAGGAGAAATGCGATCCAACTAAAGGTCACACAATCCTGGTCGTCATATCTCTTAACTATGTTTCCTATTATTTTGCCTTTTTTGCTGTTGTGGGTATATAGAAAATGCAAGGAAGAACCAGCAAGTCTTCTTGGTCTGGTATTAGCTTAATTTTTTTTTGTAAAAATGAGACTCAAACCCCGACAATGCCCTTCAAGTTGTATTAAAGAAGAGACCTCGATTCATTTTCAAAGGAACCGAAGAATGTCTCCATCTAAAATAGTAATATCAAGCAATGAAAGAGCAATCATAATCCGCTATCATCCCACCTTAGCTAAACTAATAAGATAGATAGCGTTTTGGCTTTAGATACATGATCTTTATGATAAATATTCCCTCGCCCTAAATCAGAATGAAGATACCTCATAAACTGCCCATCATTATAGATCTAAATCGCTAATACAAATCAGACATATGAAAGAGTCTGAGACCCGATTAGGATAATGAAAAAATGAACGGGAAACGCTGAAAGAAGTCACTAACCGAAATTGACCAAAGTCTGACTGACTTCGTTCAACAAAAGATACCCAGTGGGCACTCGAGCGTCGAAGTTTGCCCGTCCTTCACGATTCTGTGCCACTTCACGAAGTAGCTTGAGCAACGCTGTGGCCATACCTATATCCAGATGAACAAGCCGATCTCCCATACCACTATTTGATGTCTCTGGTAATGGCCTGGCGATAAGCTCTAAACCTCTTGTGAGCAGATTGAGACCTGTCGGATAGAGCCAGTCGAGAAGAAGACGATAAGCATGCTTCGTGTTGAGACTGGACACCACGCCACGCAGATCATAAGCCAAACCAATAAGGCCTGCACGTATCATTTCAGGAGAAAGGAGAGATGGTTCTATAAAATAGAGGTAAGATTAGATAAAAATAAGTTAGATGGTAAAGTAGGCGGGGTAAACCACGGTAAAAATGAGAAGAATCGCTCTCCTGTTGCAAAATAATCTAATGTAACAAACTAATAACATTCGTATGTGATCGTAAACTCTAGAACGATATAATCAACAGTGTATAAAAAATAAAGGGAGTTCTCAAGGAGACAAATAAAAGTAGAGTAATATGGTATGGCAACAAAATAT